GGGTTCTTAGTGGGGAGGGGGAGGGGTGGAGGAGGGAACGGTAGGAAAAACCTGGATACAGAACTTGACTGACTGGACAAGCCTTAGGTAGGCCACCATGAAGTCCATCGCAACTGACCGTCAAAGGGTGAAGGGAGCTGAAAAGATGGTCTACAGCAACTGGTGACCCAACGACACGCAGTGTTACGGGACGGTGATGATGATCAGGCTTTCTTGTGTGCAGACACACACATGGATATAAACACACTTTCGACCACGCGGGAGTACATGCTTACGTGTTTGCTTACACACATACATATGCATGTGCACATACACTCAAGGCAGTCACATGCAGCGGCCAGAGGCTCGCCTGTGGATCAGAAGGCCATGGGTTCATATCCTGACATAGCCAGTCACTAGTCTGGGTCTTTTGCAGAGTGACTGTTACATCAGTGCAGAGTGACTGTTACATCAGTGCAGGGTGGCTGTTACATCAGTGCAGAGTGACTGTTACATCAGTGCAGAGTGACTGTTACATCAGTGCAGAGTGACTGTTACATCAGTGCAGAGTGACTGTTACATCAGTGCAGAGTGACTGTTACATCAGTGCAGAGTGACTGTTACATCAGTGCAGAGTGACTGTTACATCAATGCAGAGTGGCTGTTACATCAGTGCAGAGTGGCTGTTACATCAGTGCAGAGTGACTGTTACATCAGTGCAGAGTGACTGTTACATCAGTGCAGAGTGACTGTTACATCAGTGCAGAGTGACTGTTACATCAGTGCAGAGTGGCTGTTACATCAGTGCAGAGTGACTGTTACATCAGTGCAGGGTGGCTGTTACATCAGTGCAGAGTGACTGTTACATCAGTGCAGAGTGACTGTTGCATCAGTGCAGAGTGACTGTTACATCAGTGCAGAGTGACTGTTACATCAGTGCAGAGTGGCTGTTACATCAGTGCAGAGTGGCTGTTACATCAGTGCAGAGTGACTGTTACATCAGCGCAGGGTGGCTGTTACATCAGCACAGTGTGACTGTTACATCAGCGCAGAGTGACTGTTACATCAGCGCAGAGTGACTGTTACATCAGCGCAGAGTGACTGTTACATCAGCGCAGAGTGACTGTTACATCAGCGCAGAGTGATTGTTACATCAGCGCAGAGTGACTGTTACATCAGCGCAAAGAGACTGTTACATCAGCGCAAAGAGACTGTTACATCGGCGCAGAGTGACTGTTACATCAGTGCAGAGTGACTGTTACATCAGTGCAGAGTGACTGTTACATCAGCGCAGAGTGACTGTTACATCAGCGCAGAGTGACTGTTACATCAGCGCAGAGTGACTTACATCAGCGCAGAGTGACTGTTACATCAGCGCAGAGTGACTGTTACATCAGCGCAGAGTGACTGTTACATCAGCGCAGAGTGACTGTTACATCAGCGCAGTGGCGCGGTGATTTCGGTCACAGGCATGAGGGGAAGTTAAGTCTGATGTGATGTGTATAAGGAGATATTCCGTACCCCACTCGGGCGCCAGTCCTTCACTGTTCTGGTTTTACGGAACCTCATGCAAGACTCCTGCCGCACGTCCCCGTCGTGCGCCACGGATAATGTCTCAAATGAGCATTAACAGAGTTGGCAGGGGATTTCGGAGCTGGCGGCCCCTAGAGGTGTAGTGCCCTTTCTGGCTCTCACCAGCCCGCCCCCAAACGCATGGGTGAAAAGTATAACAACACTCATTCGGAACATGAGTAAGGATTGCTTGCTAAATGTACCATCAAATGACAACTCTCTGTTAAAATTCGGAAGCGAATGGAAAACTGTGCTGCTGAGACTCAACCCTGACCGAGAGATTTACCCGCAGCCAAGACGAGTAACATCTCTTGTGGGCGATTTCTCGCAGCAAGATCCTACCCACGTACATCCTCTGTCAATCCTCAGTGTCGTCGTCACCGCGCTGAGGTACACCACGGCAGCAACTCTTCATAAGCTGGCTAAGAAATAACGTCCGACAAAGTTATACCCCACGGCACACATGCAAGCTCAAAGTCCGACGATCAGAATTCGTACAGAGCAGGAAAAAGCCAAATGTCCGTATCCACTGGTCCCACTCGCCCGAGTGTTGGGACCAAACAGGTGAAGCCTGATTCTGTCGTGCTAAGGGCACAGCTGAAACAACGTTAAAGGTGTCTAACGTACGATGAAAAAGAATGTACCTATTTGTGCGGCCACAAAAGTCCTGGACCTGCGGGCTGCTCCCCGCTGATCTCCGGAGAGTGCAGCCTTGTAGCGCGGGAAGCTCAATACACGGTTGTGAGGTTAAGCAGTCATGGGCAGGACGTGACGATTCCTTGGGTGAGCCCAGAACCAGAGCATCATGTGTCGGCTCTGCATTTATGGAAGCCTCCTTGGATGGCGGGGAATGCCCATGATCTGCCCCTGCCTTCCCTTGAGGGCTGACAATTCTACCTAGGGCTGCCTTAGGGAGGATATTCCGGGAGCCACACCTGTTAAAGGTCAAAGAGGACACCACACAAATTAGGCAACATCTCGACCCACACAAAACAATAGCCACAGTCAACCTAGAAATAGGCTTGACGTCTTCCCTCGAAGTCGGAGTACATCTGCCGGTGAGGCAGGGAACGAGGACTGCAAACAAATAAGACAGTAAAACGGATGTACACGCAAAACTCAGGTCAAGGTAAAAGCCAAAAGTCCATTTGGACGAACAACCGCGACTTACCGCCGGAATTCACAGCCGGTGAACAAGAAGAAGAAGACATCAGCGCAGAGTGATTGTTACATCAGTGCAGAGTGACTGTTACATCAGCGCAAAGAGACTGTTACATCGGCGCAGAGCGACTGTTATATCAGTGCAGAGTGACTGTTACATCAGTGCAGAGTGACTGTTACATCAGTGCAGAGTGACTGTTACATCAGTGCAGAGTGACTGTTACATCAGAGCAGAGTGACTGTTACATCAGTGCAGAGTGACTGTTACATCAGTGCAGAGTGACTGTTACATCAGTGCAGAGTGACTGTTACATCAGTGCAGAGTGACTGTTACATCAGCGCAGAGTGACTGTTACATCGGCGCAGAGTGACTGTTACATCGGCGCAGAGTGACTGTTACATCGGCGCAGAGTGACTGTTACATCAGCGCAGAGTGACTGTTACATCAGTGCAGAGTGACTGTTACATCAGTGCAGAGTGACTGTTAATCAGCGTAGAAAAATATGTCTTAATAAAAATGATACCAGAAAGAAAAGAAAATATTCATTGTTGGCTGCTCCTTTCCCTAGTTAGTTATTATGTATGAATGGATGGGTTGACAGATGGTTAGATGGTTTAGTATACATAAATGTGAATATATGAAATTGGGGTCTCACGATACAATGCTTCTCTCTTACTGCGGGCTATCAAATAGAGACAGTAAGGTTGATTGTTATACAAAGTATCAAGCGCAAAAATGAAAAGTATTCCATGTGGGATAGTAAAAACCAGAATGAAAGGCAGCGATGGAAGGACAGATGGATGGACAAGAGATTTTTTCCTTTAATCGTAAGCTTTCTATTTTCCAAAACTCTTTTTGTGAATCTGCTCATGTTTATGGAAATGCCCCGAGTGATGTGATGTTGATTCTTGACTCAACTCATATTTGTCTGAACTTCTAGATATATTTTAGTCAGCAGTACCCTTAGACAAATGATAGCTGCTCTAGTTCCACAGCTTTTACTGACCCCAATACGGTTCTTCAAAAACTTTGCTGTATATTTTATTTTGACCTTTTTTTTATTTGATCATTGTGTTCCTTCAGGAGTGTCTTAGTTACATGGTGGCTCATTAAGCTAATAATTCTGTATTTTTCAGTCAGCAGCTTTTGATTTTTATTGGGGATCTGTGATGTGAATGTATGTTTTCTTGTCCTTGTGGATGTAACCAGTGTTATATGTCATTACATATTTATCTGGTTTCAATTCCAGAATAGGATGAAGATTTTATCATATTTAATAATAATACGTTAGTTATTTTGTCAGCAGGTGATCCTCACTACACATCAAACCACTGAGTCCATAAATGCTTGGATCCAATACTTAGTGGCCTCATAGCGTGTAGCCACTGACGAGACCACTTGTGTGTTGGTTAATTTAATGTCAGACTGTCAGAGCCTGCAACGTTCTCATGCTATGTCTTGTTCTTCTCTACTTCAGCTGTAATATCTTTGGTCCATCCTGAATTCAACAGTTTCAATTTATTAACAATATAGGTCCCTGCATAAAATGTGCTGAGTCATTTACACCAAAGCACTTCACACTTTCAAAGGAGCATCTGTGCAGAATGACTTCTGATCTCTGGGTCTGTTTTCTTCTGAATGATAGAGACAGAGAGAGAGAGAGAGAGAGAGAGAGAGAGAGAGAGAGAGAGAGAGAGAGAGAGAGAGAGAGAGAGAGAGAGAGAAAAGAGAGAGAGAGAGGATGTCAGACCGACAGAGACAGATAGATGGAGGGAGCAGTCATATTTGGGTTTCACTGACAGCTTGTACAGCTCCCTGCCTGCTTGCCTGTATGAAAAAAAATATGCATTATGGAAATGTATTTCTGAAACAGACAGCAGGCTGTGTGTGAGAATATAGAAACTGAGTGAGTGATGGATTCGGCTTGTAGGGAGATAATGCACTTTCTTCTTCTCAGCTTATGAAGACTGAGGATTTCTAATTAGGGATACTCTACCTGTTTGTCGATACAAATGCTTCGTAATGCCAGGGTGCCTGGTTTGATCCCAGCTGCGGGCCATGCACCTTGCATTGATTTTGACAGTGTTATCAGGGGGCCGACCGTCCAGAAAGCAATGGCAAACTATTAGAGAAACCACACACAGCCAGGGGCTGCTGGGGATGGTTCTGCAGCATCCTGTAAAGGATACTCAATTAACCTACCTGTTTGCTATATAATTCTTTCTTGAATCTTTTGTTTTTGTTTTCTAAAAAATAAAAAATACTTGCATTTTGTTTTTACTTTCAGTTGTCTGGCTGTGCAATTTTAGGAGTAGGGATATGGTTGAGAGTTGACGAGAGTGCCTCTGAGTTTATGAGCAAAACATCAAAGATCGACATCATCTATACATTGGCCTATGTCCTGATGGCAATAGGGTTCCTCATCATGCTCATTGGGTTTCTTGGATGCTGTGGTGCAGTCAGAGAAAGCCAGTGCATGCTAGCCACGGTAAGGACATAAGGAGGTTAGTGTTAGAGACCAACAGCACAAACATGTCACAAAGGCTAACAGGAAGCACGGTGTATACAAGAGTTGGTTTTCTGATGGTGATTTTACTCCTTGTTTAGTGGATAATGTTGACAAGTTACAAGTACTCTTTAAACTGATATCTTATTCACTGTGTGGCACTTTTCACTTCCTTGACCCTAGGACACAACTTTATTAGAGGGATGATAGAGTGGTAGTGTTATTATCTTGGCTGTCATATTCTGTTTTCTTTTTCTTTTCCTTAGCATTCACTGGCCGGCTGCTAACTCTGGCAGAAAGTTCTGTTTGTTCGTCCACTTCTGGACTTTGATCTTGAATGCACATCCATTTTAGCCCCCCCCCCCCCCCCCCCCCCCACTTCCACACCAACCCCCATTAGGGGTTAAGTGACCAACACAGGGAAAATTTTGTGGCTAAAAGTTACTTGCATTAGAAAATATGGGCTACTGGGCTACTACAATGTTTTGCCCACCACTGGTCATTGATGGCCATACTTGTTAGGGGTCTACTGCAGTATTAGTTAGTCTTTCCTCTTGTGTCGAGTGCGGCACATAGGGCAGAGGTCACGACTCTCCATGCACGGCGGTCCGTTGCAATCCGTTGTAGGTCTTGGATGTTTGAGTGGCCCATGAGCGAGCCTTCCCTGATGATAGTTCTACGTAGGGTTTCCCTTGGTCTTCCACGAGATCTTTTCCCCTGTGGTGTCCAAATGAGGGCTTGGTAAGGAAGTCTTGATTTATCCATTCTAAGGACGTGGCCGACATAGTTCCAGCGGCGTTTTCGTATAAAATTAGACACATACTCTTGCCTGGATTCTTGCCTTATTTGTGTATTGGTTGTATGCAGTATGTTCTGGTAAAATATTGCTGCATCACTTTTTCTTTATACTCAAACTCAACAAATAAGTACTGTATAGCTTGTACAGAAGAATTCGTAAAATTATCTGGACAGCTAAAATAAGTAATCTAGATGTTATGGCAAGGACCCAAAGACAACTTATCACAAACAGAAAGAGACAGACTTTTTTTGTTGTTTTCACATTATAAGAAGAAAGAAACTGGAACATCTGACCACTGGAAAGATTTAGGGAAAGAGAGAAAAGGGATGACAGTGCAAGAAGATTCCTGCCAGCCGTTTATCATGGCATGGGATGAGTGTCGGCATGTGAACTGATACATTCTATTGGAGATTACAGGATGTGGAGTGGTGTGATCACCCATACCTGCCAGCAAGGTCCTTGCTTTAGCTATCTCATTGATATAATAGTTAATTAGAAGGCACTTAATTAGTTCTTATAGTTATATTGTATTTGCTCTTTCCATTTATATGTAGGTATTTGTTTTGATTTAATTTCATTGTAGGTGTCTTCTTCTTCTTCTTCACTTCCTCTTTTACCGCTGTGGGTGTCGAAGGAGATATAAGGTTCTGTTTCAGTAGGTGTACTGATCTTTAAATGTCAGATAGTTCACATTCTTAAATATATAACTAAGCTAATGTGAATTGCATGATTTCTAATGATCACTGAAGTACAGTGCATTTCTGATTTTTATTTTTAAATATAAATTATACATCTAAAATTTTTTTATGATTATACTGTTTAAAAAAAAATTATAAGTCATACAATACATTAAAAGACAACAGATCTAAATGGTCACTTGACCCACCAAAAAAATGCAATGGTACTAACTACTACAGTTTTTTTTTTTTTTTCTGTCATTGGATGCTCTTTATTGTTTAAGTTTTTTGTGAAGTATAGTTGGCAGTTGAATTCAGAAAAAAAGAAAACAAAGTTTGATGGAAACGCTTGGTTGCGTGTATTAGAATAAAACTATGTACACATACTGCGATATTCACTTTTTAAAAAAAATCCTGTGCCACCAGTGACATCATTTGCTTTCTACTTGACCCATTCATGATATTAATTTTAAAAAGATAGCCAGATATATAATGAGCATATCAGATAATGTGGGAAGACCATTCAAAAGTGGGACTGACGAAATGGGAAACAACCTCAGAGTAAATTAAAGGGAGACACAAATATTGTTTCCCACCCCTTTCCACCCCTACACACACCAACACCAGAGACACTACAGATGGTAGAGAGGGGGAGGAGGGGAGGTAATAAAAGGTTAGTTGTGTATCCTTTAACAGGGCGTTGCAGAACCAACCCTAACAGCCATTGGCTGTTGTGTGGTTTCTCTAGGCAAATTTACGCCCAGTAGTTTGCCATTGCTTTCTGGACGGTCAGCTTTCTAGATACCACTGTCGAAACCAACGCAAGATGGGTGGCCCGCAGCTGGGATCGAACCCGGCATCGCGGCATTATGAAGCGTTCGCATCGACTTAGCCACAGAGCAGACGGGGATGTAATAAAGGAATGAAATGACAAATATAATTTAATATTAGAACCATACCATGTGTATTTACTTGTAACTTTTCTTTCCATCTGCCCAGTTCTTCTTGCTGCTGTTTATTATCTTTGCCATTCTGCTGGGTTTTGGAATTTGGGCTGCTGTGGCTAAGGACAGTGTAAGTAATGCTAGCAGAAAATAATGTGTGATTCCTGTGATATTTTTGAATGGAGGCAAGTAAGTGAAGGTGGGTAATTTGACTGAAAACAGTTAATTGGTCAAAAGTTTCCATGGTGAAGTAGTTACACCATTTACCTAATGTTCTGAAGGCCATGGGTTTGGAACCATCATCTTGTCTGTTGCTGGAACTTTGAGCTTATGCTTTGTGTAATGCTCTCATAGGCAACATGTCACTCTACAGAGAGAGAGAGAGAGAGAGAGACCAACCAAGCCATAGAGGATAGAATGTGTGTTAGAAGCTGGTGGAAAAATGGGTGGGGGGAGGGGAGGGGGGTTGCAGGCCAGGTTATTTTTGTATTTCTCAGGTTTAAAAATATATAGTTCTCAAAAATTGTCAACTTGATTTATTCAATGTGGCATGTCGACAAGGTACGTATCATATTTACAACCCTACCCTCAGGGAACTTTGGGGCGTGCCAGGATAGTGCTTGATTTTACTGTGATGCCATAATTATAACTTCTTTAGAGGTGGAATGAGCTGTTTTGGATTTGCCCTATTGGATTGCCATCTAAAGTTGAAACCTTCCCGGAGGGAAAAAAGAGTCATTCATTCAGTCAGGAGCATATCGCAATGTCTGGCTTTTTCATTTAGAAGATGCTTACAACAGAGTCAGATATAAAATCTTGAAGACAGCGCTTATTAAGAAAGGAGTCTGTCCTTGGCTGCTTTGTATTCTCGTCCGGTAGCTCTCCGCTTGGGTTCATGGACCTCCGAACTACGTATTATAGTCCCAGGACTACCACAGTGATCTGCAATTTCATCTGTGCTGTTCAGTTTGTTTACGAGCAAGATTGCAGAACTGGAAACACCTGGAGTTAGTAGAATATTGACATTCGCAGATGATATTCTCGCATAAAGGCAGGGGAGAGATCAGAATAAAAGTGCTCAAGAGTTACAGGAGACAGTATATAAAGTGATCGACTGGTGTAAAGAGCGCACTGCGGTAATTAACCCAGAAAAGCAAACCATCCTGTGGTGTTCTTTGGACAACAGAATTGTTAGAGCTGATGTTCCAAGCCTGAAAATAATTGGCAGGGACATCAAGAGAGACAGCAGACCCCTGTACCTGGGAATCACCTTTGACAAGAGCTTGTCTTTCAAGGCTCACATAGAGGTGGTTGTGTCAAAGTCCCAAAAAGGCCTTAATTATAACAGCAGTGGACGTGGAGCAGAGAATGCTGTACACACTATACCAGCACTTGATCATCTCAGTGATTGATTATGGACTGGTTTTTCTCACTGTCTCAAAGAGTCAGCTAGTAAAACTGGAGCGCATACAGAATGAAGCATATTTGGGTGATTCTGGGACGTAGAAGAGACACTCAAATTGTGTGCATGTGATACATCCTTGCATTGCCGACTATTGCTGCAGGCTAAAGATGCTGCAGGCTAAGTCATACTTCAGAGTAACTGCTGACAAAGAGCACCCCCTGTATGAAGCTTAGGCTGCAGTAAAGAGTCAGAGGCTGAAAAGGGGGAAATCATGGTTGGCTCAAGCAAAAGACACAATAAGACAAGTATACCAATGGAAAATCTTTAGTGCAGGTTAGTTAGTTAGTTAGTTAGTCTTTCCTCTTGTGTCGAGTGCGGCACATAGGGCAGAGGTCATGACTCTCCATGCATGGCGGTTCGTTGCAATCTGTTGTAGGTCTTGGAAGTTTGGGTGTCCCATGAGCGAGCCTTCCATGATGATAGTTCTACGTAGAGTTTCCATTGGTCTTCCACGAGATCTTTTCCCCTGTGGACAGCCTGGTATATGATACTACAACATCTAGCATAAGAATGGAGGTGAAGGCGGTCACTGCAGCTTGCCGGTGGCTAAAGAACAAGATGCATACACATATCGTAATTTTAACGAATTCTGAAAGCATGCTAAAAAAGGTGAAGACAAGATTGCTTCAAGCAGAGTGGCAAGCTTCACTGGAAAGGTCACAGGTAGCAAGCATACTTTGGATCTTTTCTTCAGGCAGTGCTGGTGTGGTGGGGAATGAACAGGCAGACAGATTGGCCGGATCTGCATCGCTGGGTGGTGAATTGATACATGACAAGGCAGATGTGGTCAGAGCCCTTTAGGAACAAGTAATGAAGTCAGAAGAGAAACTGGATTTGTATGGGCTGGAGAGAATGATGCCCTGGCTGTGACCAGAGGGTTCGGCAAGACGGACATACAACCAGACTATGACCAACACTATTAGTATTGGAACTCTGGGCTGGCTGCTGAAGATGGGGATGGAACGCATATGGGAATGCCCTGAATGCTGTGATGTCATTTCTTGACTCAACTCAACTCTTAAACCTCCAACTGACATCATGTAACCAATTTTCAATAATTGATCTGTTGCAGCTGTAACTACTGTGAAACATTTTATCATTGTTAGCAGAGGCCACAGGTATTGACAGAATTGATCACAGCAACTAAATAATATCTATAATTTTTTTTTTGCCATTCTAGTTGAAGGATTATACAGAAGACATTTTGAAAGAAGGTGTGGATAAATACTATGTAGACAAGAAACAGGCAGCCCTCATGGATTCCATCCAGAATTTTGTGAGTTATAGTTTGCTTGTTTTCTCTTTGAATATAGCTGTCTTGTATCAGTATTCTCTTTAAAGTGAGAAAAACATTAGCAACTCAAAGAGAATGTCTGATTGATTGTAACATTTTTATTAGCACACACCACATGAATATAAAAGGTTTTACAGTAGGCAACAGAAATGTTGGTTCTAGTGATCATGTTCAGGGTGTTTTAGAGCAGACAACTGAATAGTTCTAGTGATCATGTCAGTGTGTTTTAGAGCAGACAACTGAATAGTTCTAGTGATCATGTGCAGGGTGTTTTAGAGCAGACAACTGAATAGTTCTAGTGATCATGTGCAGGGTGTTTTAGAGCAGACAACTGAATAGTTTTAGTGACCATGTCAGTGTGTTTTAGAGCAGACAACTGAATAGTTCTAGTGATCATGTCAGTGTGTTTTAGAGCAGACAACTGAATAGTTCTAGTGATCATGTGCAGGGTGTTTTAGAGCAGACAACTGAATAGTTTTAGTGACCATGTCAGTGTGTTTTAGAGCAGACAACTGAATAGTTTTAGTGACCATGTCAGTGTGTTTTAGAGCAGACAACTGAATAGTTTTAGTGACCATGTCAGTGTGTTTTAGAGCAGACAACTGAATAGTTCTAGTGATCATGTCAGTGTGTTTTAGAGCAGACAACTGAATAGTTCTAGTGATCATGTGCAGGGTGTTTTAGAGCAGACAACTGAATAGTTTTAGTGACCATGTCAGTGTGTTTTAGAGCAGACAACTGAATAGTTCTAGTGATCATGTGCAGGGTGTTTTAGAGCAGACAACTGATTTTGTTAGAAATAGTCATAGGCCACAGTAAAAGTAAAGGGCCTTTTTCCATGCCTTAGGCATGTTGGGCATACAATGGCTGGATTGGCTTTTTACCCCACCAGGACATCACACAAGCGATAAACACCCGATGACACAAAGTGCCACCATGCGGATGAGGATCACTGTGGAGAGGTTCCAGAAACCGCGTTCAGACATTTGGCCATAATGATGACCTGCCTATATTGCGGCCCCTGGCAAAAGCCAGAGTGGGGCTTCAAATAACAAAAAATAACGTCCTAAGAAGGACGTAAGAAATTATTAATGTTGTTGGGCATACAAGACTACATCTGTATTTTATAGAGCAATCAGCACTTGGTGGGTGATATGTCAGCATCACAATGACTACTTCTACTTCCTAGGACTTTACCTGGACCCATCTGATGTTGGGTTGACCTTGGAGAAAATGTCATTTAAAAAAAAATTCAGCTCTGTCAGAACCCGAACCCTCGACCTTCCGATCCGCAGGCTATCTACTAGCTGCTACACCATGGTGGCTCCCCATAGGCGACAGATGTTTTCAGAATAATATTTGATAACTGGTCTGGGATCCTACTGCTAGATGTTTTCATGGGAAAGTTTTGTGCCATTTAGTCACACAAGTTACCAAAAATGTGGGTAATTGAGTGACCTCTAGATAAAGCGATAACTGGGTAGTGGATTAAGAAGAATTTACAGAAAGTGCCAGATGGTAGTTGGCTGAATGGCCTGTAGATATAAAAGTTGCTTGATAGTGGATGCTTGAATGGCCTTAAGATATGTGTAGTTAAAGCTGCACAGGAGGTTGAGCACAAAGGGAAGCTGCAGATCATAGAAACAAGTCTCTGTTATTTTCATTTTCGAAGTCTTTATCTTCTTATCCTTCTCGACTGGCACTCCCATCCTGATCTTGGCTTTCGAGTGTATTTGTTCCTGTTGTGTATTTTGAATCCTTTAGCTGTCTTGGAAAAATGGGTTCACGGCTTACAACACTTTAATATAAGTCAAAATTTTTACTCTAAAAACTTGGCAGTACGAGAACAGTCCAAAAGATCCTCAGAAATGTCTGCTGTATTTAGACAATATTTTTTACATTTTAAATGTGGCTCATTTTATACAGCAAAAGCTGGGAAATTTTTAGCCAGTATTAGCTTCACCAGAAGTATTTTTTCCTAAGATATTTTTTTTGTTAAGACATTCCAGAGGGTGGCATCATATTTGTTCTTCCATCTGGCCTCACCTGAACAACCATGAGTATGCTGGCCAGTCCTCAAGAGAAGGCAGTGGTGACACCAGGATATTCCCCGTCATTCAAGAAGCTTTCTTCGAAGTCGAAGAGGCAAGGAACCAACAGTCTGCTTGCAAATGAGTCGACCTGGGAAACAGATGTGCACGCAACACTCAGGTTCTGGAACAGGACTAGAGTCCAGAAGTGGATGAACAACTAGAACTTTCCACTGAAGTTTAACGCCGGTGAACACAAAGAAGAAGAAAATAACTTTGTTGCTAATTTTCTTTTGACTTGAAGGGCCCATTTTATTTACATATATTTCTAAAGCAGTCAGTGTCATAACCAGCTCTATTCTCAGAAACAGTTCAAGAGAAGAAACCTTTAACAGATGGGCAAAGAGGTTGAATTCTTTTTAAAGGAAATATGTAACCAAAAGCCAGGGATAAAACCAGTGACCTTTACAGAATTACCCACAGTCTCAATTTTAAACAGGATATGCTAGAGTCAATAGCCATTTAAACAGCAAAAATCGATATGCTAGAGTCAATAGCCATTTAAACCGCAAAAATCTCCAGACTGCTTTCATGTGCAGACATTCTTCTCATGTGCACCACTTTTGACCAGCTGTGCTTCAAGTATCCTGTGCTTTCACATGCCAGGAAAACCTACACCAGCTGTGCTTCAAGTATCCTGTGCTTTCACATGCCAGGAAAACCTACACCAGCTGTCTCCGAGTCAGTAACTTCTTCATAGCAGCTACAGAGGGCTTGTATTTTCATAGGAACTGTATTTGGCTGCCAAGGTTGACATGGCAGCTTTGGAATTGACAACACCAATGGGGAACTTCTTCACATGATCACTCGTTGGACATGCTGTAGTGATTAGGTTTACACACACACGCATGCACACACACACACACACCCCACACACACGCACCCCACACACACGCACCCCACACACACACACACCTCTCACACACACCCCACACACATGCACACATGCACCCTACCCCCCCATTTCCCACACACACACACCCCACACACACTACACACACACACACACACCACACATGCATGCACATACACACACATTGTACACACATGCAAAAAGACACTGCCAGAGATCCAAGTTTTTAATTAAAACAGTGATGTTTATGAGAAACAATGCTCAAGGTTGTTTTCCTTTACTCCAGCTGCTGAAACCTGTTCACTGTGACAGACCGTTGATGAAATTAAGAATTTACCATTTTTCTTCACTTTCCTGTTTTGTTAGAAGCCTGGAGAAATCCAGTTATTTGAAAATGTATCTGTGTGTTTCAGTTCAAATGTTGTGGTCACACAGAAGGAAACACTGACTACGACACTGTGCAAGCCGTGCCCCATAGTTGCCACCCTGACAACTACAGAAAGGTAAGTTTATACCTGGTTTCTGTCACATCAGTTGCCGTGTCTTCAGTGACCTGCTCATCATGTGCTTCATGTTCATGTCATCTTCTGTCTTTCTTGTATCCCTTGGTAAAGCATTGACTTGCTAACTCAAGCCAAACATTCTTATCTTTCACCACCTCCTGCAGTTTCTTGTATCCCTTGGTAAAGCATTGACTTGCTAACTCAAGCCAAACATTCTTATCTTTCACCACCTCCTGCAGTTTCTTGTATCCCTTAGTAAAGCATTGACTGGCTAACTCAAGCCAAACCTTCTTATCTTTCACCACCTCCTGCAGTTTCTTGTATCCCTTAGTAAAGCATAGACTGGCTAACTCAAGCCAAACCTTCTTATCTTTCACCACTCCTGCAGTTTCTTGTATCCCTCAGTAGAGCATTGACCTTCTGACTCAAGCCAAGCTCTTTAATCTATCACCATTTGCAGTTTCTTGTATTCCTCAGTAGAGCATAGACCAGCTAATTCAAGCCAAGCCTTTTTATCTTTCACCACTCCTGTAGTTTCTTGTATCCCTCAGTAGAGCATAGACAAGCTAATTCAAGCCAAGCCTTTTTATCTTTCACCACCTCCTGCAGTTTTCTCTATATCATTCATTGGTGTTACTAAGTTTCTTCTCTGTGTGTTTTTGTCTTCCTTATTTTCTGTTACCCTGTGAGTTCCAATTCAAATTATGCTATTAACAGGTTTCCTTAATCCTGTGATGTACAAGAGACACCCCAAATGCGTGCATGCGATACATCCTTGCATTGCCGGCTAAGTCATACCTCAGAGTAGCTGCAGACAAAAAACACCCTCTGTATGAAGCTTTGGCTGCAGGTAAGGGTCAGAGGCTGGAAATGGGGAAATCGTGGATGGCTCAAGCAAAAGATACAATAAGACAAGTGTGCATGCTGGAGAACATTAGGCGAGGAGAGGAAAGGGTCAGAATACCAGCGGAAAAGTCTGAACTGTGTAGGGTTATGATCACATTGGGCTGGGAGTGCAGAGAGTGGCCAGCGGGTGCTGTGGAGGTGGAAGTCCAACAGTTGATACTCGAAAATTCACACCTAGGTGAGGAATTCATAGCAAAAGCCAGTGGAAAATCTTTAGTGTCAGACAGCCTGGCATACATCACAACATCTAGCATGAGAATGTAGGTGGAGGCGGTAACTGCAGCTCTTCGATGGCTAGAGAACAAGATGCAGACACATGTCGTAATTCGAACAGGCTCTGAACGCATGCTGAGAAAGGTGATTACAGGGATACTTTGAGCAGAGTGGCAAGCTTCACTGGAAAGGTCACGGGTAATGAGCATACTTTAGATCCTTTCTCCAGGCTTTGCTGATGTAGTGGGTAATGAACAGGCAGACAGATTGGCTGGATCTGCACCACTGGATGGTGAATTGTTGCATGACAAGGTAGATATGGTCAAGGCTCTTTGGGAACAAGCAACGGAATTAGTAGAGAAACAAGATTATTATAGCCTGGAGAAAATGAGGCACCTGGGTGTAACAAGAGGGTCTGGCCGGCTCAGTACACTCAGAGGAAAGGTAATACGGACATATAACTAGATTGTGACCGGCACCATGAGTATGGAACTCTGCACTGGCTGCTGAAGATGAGGACAGAGCACACATAGGAATGCCCTAAGTGCTGTGATATCAGTTCTTGACTCAACTCAACTCAGGTTTCCTTATTGTATGTCCTGTCCACTGCCAGTGACTTGTCCTCACCATTGAGATTTGTTAACTTTTCTCCATAATTTTGGTGCTGTGGCATAGGGATTATCAAAACAGTGTTTAACGTGTGAGATCCTTTGCGCCCTTAACAAGCATTTCATAAGAACTGACTAACTAGGAGCTTCTTTCGAAGTTGCGTTGCATCTGCCTGAGAGACAAAAATAAATCAAAACTGTCAAACGGACGTGTACGCAACACTCAAGTTCTGAAACAAGACTAAAGACCAGAAGTGGATAAACACCAGAACCTCCGCCAGGGTTTACACCCAGGGAACACAAAGAAGAAGAACACAGTTTCATAATTCCTGTGTCTGTGTTTCATTAAGCTTGGAGTGATATGGCATCAGATCGCTTTGCATTGATTTTGATAACATTGTGAGTGTTGACCATTCAGAAAGCAATGCAAACTCATCATCATGTAGCAGGTTCTTTGCAGAACGTCGCTCTCTTCACAGTCTGCCTGAAAGAAACTTGGTCTCTTGCCAGCTCTTCCACCTCATGTACTTTGATACTCAAGGAGTCACTTATATCGTGTGCCCATCTTCATGTTGGTCGGCCCCTGCCCTTCCTTCCTGGTACCATGCCTTCTGTTTTAATTTTTTTCAATGCAAACTACTGAATGTAAAATGCCTCACGTACAATAAAGAGGCTTGGATTGGTTTGCAATATACTGTAATGGTTACACAAAATCAATCTCAGTAAGCTCCATGAGCTAGGGATTTTATCATACATTTTATAGCTTTTATTTTGTGAAGGCAAGAGTAATTGAATGTTTTTAGTTTATTAGAAATTGTTGTATTCACTCTCCTTGTTTATTAGAACTAATTAGATGTTATAGTTAAATATTTTTTGTTTGATACTTGATTTAATTTTGACTTTCTTAAATGTCCTAGTGCTATATGAAAGCTTGTCTTGTGTATTCGTGTTTTATCATTTATGTTTGTTTCCCTTGTTTGTCAATATTGCTGACTAAATATTTGCATGATTCTTCTTCTTCAAATGATGTTTCAACAGTGGCCTTGGGTGATTCTTTGCTTTATTTATTCTTATAACATTCTAGTGTATTGATTTTTGAGAAATTCTGCAGTGTATTTTTTTCCTTATTGAAAAGATCTTATGCTTCCTATGAGTTTAAAATGAATTTTATATATCAACAAATTATAATCTGAATCCACATATGTCCCTCTAAAAATGTTTGTTTCTATAGAGGTGATCAAAATTTCTTGTTAATGAAGATTCAGTCAGTCTGAGTTTCTGTATTATGGTCTAGTGATGCTGGCTCACATCTCTTGACTTTACCTTTACCTTCTTGTTCTTGTTCACAGACTGTAAACTCGGGTGCAAAGTTCTGGGTGTTCTTCCATTTCTAGACTTTGTTGGTTTTTTCCCCCCTAGAACTTGAGTTTTATGTGCACATCCATTTTACAGATCTGGCTTATTTGTATGCAGACTGTTGGTTCCTTGCGCGTCTGGCTAATGCACTCTAACTTCAAAGGAAACACCCCTAATTAGTCGACTTTTGCATCATGCTTGGGGTGTTCTCCCAAATAGGGTTCTAGAGCATACATAGAAATCTTTATATTTCTCTGTTGTGGTTTCAAAACCAAGCCGTTGTTATTGGAAACAAACAACTAATGTTCTGGGACTGGCAGTTTCTGATGGTCAGGGATTTGGATACAGAGAATTTTAACACATGCAATGACAACAGCTCACAGAAGCCAGCTGCAGGCCTCGGAAATGAGATATCTGAGAAAGGTGGTTCAAGTGACAAGAAGGGACAAAGTCCGCAATCAGACCATACATCATGATCTTGATGCCCAGGGATCAGTCACAGTTACGATGGTTTGGACATGTATGCAGAATGGGAGAAAATCGGCCACCATGGTAGGCATGGGAGGCTAAGAACCAGGGAACCAGACTTCCAGGGCGGCCCAGGGTCTGCTGGCGATCTCTCTGGCAAACCTCTACACCCCAAGGTAGAAGAGGAGCGACTAAGTAAGTAAATAAGATTTTTAACACAGGACGAGCTGATTCATTAGAAGTTCTCATAGATTGACTTTCTAAAATAGAGTGCCCTTGTGTGTAAATGCTCCTGCCTTCTTTTGTTGACTACACTTCATGTTCCTTAGAGGATGACAGTGGACCTGAGAAATGTGACGACAGGAAAGTAATAACCACATCTTGTTTGGGCAGTATCAGATAACAGTATTTACAGACAGGCTTACTTTATACTAATTCCATTTTCAGCCCTGCAAGACAGAATTTTATAGTTGGATAGACAGCAGACTGGCTGTTATTGCGGGTGTTGCTATTGGTTTTGCCATTAAAATGGTAAGTGGATATTCATACGTGTTGTTTATTCATCATGTATGAGGTAGCTTCAGAAAGTTCCCTTAATTTGTGAATTGTGTAGAAATAAGTAACAGTTCAATTATTTACACTCAACTTTCTTCAGAATAGTTTCTTCGACAACTACACACTTTTGCCAATGTTCATATATTTGTTAGAACACATTCCTGGAACACATGGATGGACACCACTTTCAGCTGCTTTGTTGTGTCTGCACAACTCGGTGGAATACTACTACATGTTAGGGCAGACGTGGTTAGTGCCTCGTGGGAGAGTGTGTACAATTCGGAGGAGCAGAATGATCACCACAGTCTGGTGAGATTGATGCAGTTTGGGGTGACGAGAGGTTCTGGCAGATGCTCGAGGCTCAGAGGAAAGGCAAGACGGACGTTTAATCAGAAAGCTACTGGCACCATTAGTATCAGAACTCTTCGCTGGCTGCTGAAGATGGGGATGGAGCGCTTATGAGTGCTGTGATGTGGGTTCTTGAATCAAATCATATCAATGTTGTGTTGGCAATAAGGTCCTCAGCATCCTTGGATCACTGCCCTTTCAGTGCTGATTGTAGGGGAGGGAACCAGAAACAAAAATCAGCCAGTGCCAGATCAGACAATCCAAACCTACCGACAGCACACTACAAAGTATAACACAGGAACTTGCTATGTTGTCAAATAAGGCAGAAATTCACTTGCAAAGGATTCCGTCTCACTGCGGCATCAAAGGCAATGAAAGCGCAGATGCTTTAGCCAAGGAAGGCAGTAACAAACTACAGACCTACCAGCCACTATCTTTTCCAGAAGTCAAAACTCTCATTAAGAGAAAATCAGAAACAGACTGGAAAAACAACACTGGTTATGACTATGGAAAAGATTTTCTGAGGCACTTGAACAGAACAGACCACGTCACAGTTTTTCGCTTACGCACTGGACACTGCAGACTCAATAAACACTCATATAAATTAGGTATGAGCCAAACAGCTCTCTGCCAGTGTCTTCCTGCTGAACAAACTCCAGAACATGTCCTGCAAGACTGTCCTCTCCTGGCGGAGCTGCGAAGCGACATATGGCAACACCCAGTAGAACTGACAACTAAGCTTTGGGGAAACCTAAGAGACCTTGAAAAGACATCCCAGTTTATGACCCACAGTGGATTATGCGCATGACCAGAGATCGCTGAAGAAGAAGAAGAAGATCAGACAAAGGGGAAGGATGTTTCAGGGCAGTCACAGTATCTATTGTAAGCTGCTGCTCCACCAGAAGGTTTGATGTGATGTTGCATAGTCAACCATGACTGACTGACTGACTTTCGACCCCACCAGGACATCACACAAGTGACAAACACCCGACGACACAAAGTGCTCCCATGTGGATGAGGATCGCCGTGGAGAGGTCCCAGAAACCGTGTTCAGACAATTGGCCACATTTCTGGCCTGCTTATATTGCAGCCCCTAGCAAAAGCCAGGGTGGGGCTTTAATTTACAAAAAATTTCATCCTAAAAATGAGTAAAATGTATATCATAACGATAGTCAACCATCAGTTTGTTTTCTATTTTTCGGGGTGTTTCCTTCTGACTGTATCTCATAGGTGGTGAAGGATATTAATTAATGCACATGTTCTCAGTGGCCGTTTGGCTTTCAGAAATGAAATCATGGTAGACAATAGCCTGAACATTTAAAAAAAAAAAAAAAATTTCCAACATAACTTTTCTTTCACTTTTGCCCAAATTAAATTTCTATATCCAGGGAGAAGAGGGTTTTTTCCATTCAGAGGAGTTATGTTTTGTTAATGGATCATACAAGAAACACTACATCTTGTCTCTTCTGATTGTGTTGTTGAGGAAATTTGATCAGTCATAGAGATTGGGTCTCCTTTGTCGTTCTGTTCAGGAAACAACATTTCGAGAACCATGTGTTGACAAAATCGGTGGGGAAGAGTTCAGTCAAAACAATACTGTGGCAACTTCCCATCTCGGAGGCTAGTTTCTTGACACTAAATCTTCTGTCTGAAAGAAAAATATTCTGAACATGCTCAATGTTTTCATTGTTTATCACAGGAGGCTGCTCCTCGTGTGGGTTCTGGGGCCCCTTCGTGGGGAAAACAAGAACAGACCCACTGCCTGTCCGACAAGCTTGTCGTAAGAGTCGACTAATTGGGGAGGACTAATTGGGGAGCTTCCTTTGAAGTCAGAGTGCATCTGCCTGAGAGGCAAGGAACCAACAGTCTGCATTCAAGTGAATCAGATCTGTAAAACTGATGCACATGCAACACTCAGGTTCTGGAGCAGGACTGCAGTTCAGAAGTGGACGAACAAGCAGAACTTTCCACCAGAGTGTTCGGCTGGTGAGCGCGAAGAAGAAGACAGAAGGCTGCCCACTACGTATATCATCATAAACACTAACACGGTCTTTGCCACTCAAAAAACTTGTGATTCATTCATTGTGGTATTACTTTATGCAAACTGACTGGGTCTGAGGGTGACTTCTCAAGCAAAACGAAAAAATGTATCATTTGCGCATTGCTCAACTAAGGACATTTTCAACTCTGACCACATCGCGAATGGGGCAGAAGTTAAATGTGAAGTGAAAATGTGGTTTAGAATACAGAGCATGCAGTTCTGTGCAGCAGATTTGAGAGGACTGATAAAACGGTGGGTCAGATGCATCAGGGTTGGTGGAAGTTTTGTTGGCAATGCACAAGACACAAACAAACATTTATTTGTAACTTCTGTTCAATAATAAGTGTGAAGATCATGTCTGCCATGTTGTTTCATCAAGGTCATTATCCAGAAATGTAGTCTTTATGTCATAATTACTAATTCAAATGTGGGTCAACTATCTGGAAACTGTTTGAAGCAAATCCATAGTAGGAAAAAATAAGCTAGAGATAGCGAAAACACTGACTCACTTAAAGAAAGCAGTTAAACAAAATTGGACTAGTTATTAGTCAAGATTTGACAGAATACATGTTAATAACAGGACGGGGCGTGGATAAAAACTCGTAAAAACATGTAAATAAATAATATAAATATCAAAATACCAGAAATATACAACTTGCTGGGATGGAAACTTCAACCGCTCCAACATATTGAGAAAAGAAATTCAGTATACTGTGCCCTACAACAGGGCTATTCCACTGGTGTGAACATCAGACAATAAAATAACGAAAAACAGACAAGATAGGAAAGTCCGGGATTCTTCAGTGTTAGCTCCAAAGACATCAGAAGATGAGATAATGAAAGCTTAAATTAATGACAAGTTGCTGATTTTATTTAAAATATAACAAATTATTTAATATTACAAGGGAAAATCAATAAGTAAATCACAAATGTTATGGGATGGAGGAGAATGTAGTTGATGGTTTTTTAAGGTGGCGCTAGGTGCTGCATGCGCATTTGCAACACAGAAATAAAATGGCGACTGTACTTACGGAGTGTACCCTCAAAGAACAACTTGCTGTTGCGCGTTTCGCTTTGGGCAAAAGGGCTGCCTGCAAAGGACATTCATAAGGAAATGCTTCCTGTTCATGCTGACAAATGTTTATCCCGTAAAGCGGTGCATAGCTGGGTAAACAAAATTTCTCAAGGGCGCTCTAAAATATTTGATAAAGTCCCATTTGATCATCCTGTTGAGATTGCAACAGAGGCATCCATGTAGTGGGTGGAGGAGATGATTGGAAGTGACAGGTGAGTAATGGTTGACTCTGTAGCAGCTGCAATAGGAAGCTCACATGGTTCAGCATACAACATAATGTGTGATCGATTGAAATTGTTGGTCCAATGAAAACATACCTTGGCAGGAGACATTTTTGCGAATGACGCAGAAGTTGAATGTGGAGGGAAAATTAGGTTTAGAAAACAGAGCATACACAGCATGTTTGGGAGGACTGATAAAACAATGGGACAAATGCATCAGTGTTGGTGAAAATTATGTTGACAAATAAAGGAATAGTGTATGTGTAAAAATTAACAGTTTTCAAGTTGTTATCATCTTTAGCCTTTTGTTCTTTTAAAAAACCATTTGTGACTTACTTATTGACTTCCCCTCGTACTTTCATTTTTTGCATTTTTATATTGCCTGCTTATATTCTTCTTTTCAATTGTTTTTGTTGAATTTTCCTAAATTCTTAGCTGCTGGGTATGATACTTTCCATGCTGCTGTGTTGTGCCATCAGAGACCAGGTGTAAGTAGTCTGTCACTTGTCGCTGAGATGATCAAACCTTACTTACCATTTGCTAGAAACTGTTTTTTTTTTGGTTGCTGTTGTGGTTTTTCTAGGCAAATTTTACATTCAGTAGTTTGCCATCGCTTCCTGAGCAGTTAGATCTCGGTACCACTGTCAAAATAATGCAAGATAAATTGTCCGCAGCTGGAATCAAACCCGGTACCCTGGCTGTATGAAGCGCATTCACAACACCTAAACCACAAATGCTGTGTTTAAGTAAAATAAAGAATCCTGTTCATGTCAGCTACACATAGGGCACTAGATTCATATTTTTGAAGGCCAGTCAACATTCAGAAAGCAATATAGTCAACATCATTCCTGCCACAACAAAAATAGACCCATTGCCTGCCCAAAAGCATGTCGTAGGAGTCAACTAATTGGGAGCTTCCTTCGAAGTCGGAGTGCATCTGCCTGAGAGGCAAGGAACCAGTAGTCTGCATACACATGAGTCAGATTTGTACAACACAACACTCTGACTGCAGTCCAGAAGTGGATGATGAACAACCAGAACTTTCTGCCAGAGTTGACAGCTGGTGAACGTGAAGAAGAAGAACCTCCCAAGACATTTCCTGGTACATATTTTAGACTTTAACATCATTCCTGTCACTTTTACTTACCTAGGCATTTTCTGGTACATATTTTAGACTTTAACATCATTCCTGTCATTTTTACTTCCCAAGACATTTCCTGGTACATATTTTAGACTTTAACATCATTCCTGTCACTTTTACTTCCCAAGGCATTTTCTGGTATCTATTTGA